AGTTTTATATATAAACTACTCTTTGAGGAGGTGGAGAGCAGCAGGATAGGTGGTGCTTTGTTCATGGAAATACAGAAGCTGGTAGTTGTAAACCGGTATAATAACTACTCCCTCCGTCATGAAATTAATTGGGCCATCTCGTGCCAACCCACTAGCCTAGCCAAGGACCAAAGCTTGAACTACTTTAGATTAGTAGTGCTGTGTCGACCAACTAACTCAACAAAGAAAAAAGGCATAAATTTTAGGTCAACATCTAAAATCTATCCTCTGAATTCATAGTTCATGTACACACAAATTGAACCAATTAAATTAAATTGAATCCGAGGGATAACCCGCGCCGCCGCCTCTGTGCACCGGCTAGGGACACAACCACAACAAGCGGGTATCGGCGGAGGACGAAGACGGTGTGCCGAGAAAGTAGTCCAAGCATGGGCAGAATGACTGGGCTGACACATGCACAGTAGGTGCCGGGCCGTGACGTGACGTGTCTAGGCCGGGAGAAAGGTAGCCCATGGGTGTGGAGCATATTGGCCGTCTATACTTTTCTATATATATATATATATATATATATATATATATATATATATATATATATATGTGTGTGTCATCCTTCGCTTTTTAACTACTCCCTCCATTCCAAATTATAAATCACTTTATTTGGCTTTTTTTACATTCATTTTGCTATGCATCTAGACATAATATTATGTCCATATACATAGCAAAATAAATGAAAAAAATCAAATAAAACGACTTATAATTTGGAATAAAAGGAGTATTTAGTATTTTGATTTTGGTTTTGGTTTTGGTTTTGGTTTTTCCATCATTTCGTTTTCAGAAGAGGCCACACCGTAGCATCTGCCAATTCATCGTCATCGAGACACAGAGCAGAAAAGAGGGGGAGGAGCGTGGAAGCTTCCAGATAAATAACCCCGGGTGGGACCCGGGAATGTACTAGCTCCTGTAGAGGCAGCGGAAAGGAAGGATTGGACGTTGATTGGCTGCTTTGCATTGTTTTGTCCTCTACCTCTCCCGGTTTCCGAACCTCTCTAGCATGCTGCGTGTGATCCATGATGCATGAGGATGGGACTGGGAGAAGAGAAGACATGGATGGATCGTATCGTTGCACAGACAGAACCAATGAAAGAAGAAAATGGATTGATGGGCAACGTGGCCTGCTAGCTTCCCATTCCCAGCGCAATTCGTTGCTCTGCTACTGCTAGCTTGCTTGCCATTCGCCGCGGTCCTTGCAGCCCGGGCTGGGTGGGTTTGTATCGTACGTTGAAATGGCTCTGCAGCAACCCATGGCAGTGCCAGTGTTCAGCCGGCGTTCAGCTTCGGCGGCAGGAGCAGGACACCAATGCACTCCCTCTCCCTGCTTCGCCGCCGTCCGGAAGCGGCAGCAGAGGACCACCACCATCGTGGCGGTGTTCAAGAGCCCAACCAACAAGCAGCAGAAGCCGCGCGTGCGTGGAGGCACGGACGGCATCTTCGGCACGTCCGGCGGCATCGGCTTCACCAAGGAGAACGAGCTCTTCGTCGGCCGCGTCGCCGCCTCCCTCCTGGGCGAGGCCGTCACGGGGAAGGGCATCCTGGCGCAGCTCAACCTCGAGACCGGGATCCCCATCACCGAGGCCGAGCCGCTCCTCCTCTTCTTCATCCTCTTCACCCTGCTGGGCGCCATCGGCGCGCTCGGCGACCGCGGACGCTTCGGCCACCGGCCTCGAGCGCGCCGTCATCCCGCCCCGCAGGGGCTTCCGCGCCGCGCTGGGACTCGCCGAGGGGGGCCCGCTCTTCGGCTTCACCAGGGTCAACGAGCTCTTCGTCGGCCGCCTCGCGCAGCTCCGCATCGCCTTCTCCCTCATCGTCGAGATCGTCACGGGAAAGGGCGCCCTCGCGCAGCTCAACGTCGAGACCGGCGTCCCCGTCAACGAGATCGAGCCGCTCATCCTCTTCTTCTTCTTCGCCGCCATCAACCCGGGCACCGGAAGGTAAGGTTCGTCACAGACGACGACGACGACGGCCTCCAGTAGCACAACTACTCATCGATCGATGACGTGAAGATGCTTGACCGAGACGAGCTCGTTCAATTCCTTCCTACCTGTCATGCATGCATAATTAGGAATCCGTCCAGTCCAGTTGTCAGATTATAATTATAATAGTAAATAGTAGTGGTAGTTTTTTGCCACTAGTAATAAGTTCAGAGGGGATCGATCTGTGAGTGATACCATGCCGCTCAACCTGCACTGCAGTGTGTGTTATTAGTGTCTTTGTGTATCACTGCCACTCTATCAGTCAGAAACACAAAGCACCAGTATCCATCAGTTGTTGCTAGCATCATGAGATCTGAGAATAAGTGATATCCTTTATCTATACAGATTTATGATATTTTGTTTTCTTGTCAGTCAATTTTCACAGAACATCACATGTATACTACCAGAACATCACAAAATGCATCACAGAACATTATAAAATACATCACAGAGCATCACATGTATTTTAGCAACCACCTGAGAACATCACGGAACATTAAAATACATCACAGAACATAACAGAACATCACATGTGTATCACTTGAACATCACATGTATACTACGTGAATATTACAACATTTAAAAAACATCATGTACTACGTGAACATTATATGTTTATTACGTGAACATCATAAAATACATCACAGAACATGATTGATGGTTAAGTAAACCATCAGTCACCTGCCACAGAGACACACCCCTATTTATAACCAGTGATAAAGAGGATTGAAAGAAAAAGAAGCTCTAGCAAATTCCCTTTTTAATCTCTTTTGCTTAGATTTTTTCTTAATTGAGAAAACCATCCTCCAATAACTCATAGAAACTGAAGAGTGAGTCAATATCTTTTCTCTTCCCTTTTCCCTCTCTACGGCGTGCATTGGGCAATGATATTGGAGGAACGGACACCCCGTTGTCGGGCTGCGTCAGGTGGGCCGGGGGAGCAGGTGCCACGTTGCTGGCCCGCACTGGGAACAGGGAGTGAGCACCGCACAAATGACCCCCCCCCCACATTCGGAATGTATATGTCGGGCCTCAAACTTGAGGCAGGACTCACCCAAGAAGAGACCGTGCTTTCCTATGAAAAAAGCAATCTCAACCGTTGAAACTACGGAGTGGTTTACATAGTTGCTAGATTAGTAAGAAACTACTTATAGAAACTAGAGATGGTTTTCCATACCAGTAAGAAACCATTCATAAAAACTATACAACACAACACAGTTTTTGTCTCTCACCTCCATTCTCTCTCCCCCTCCCTCTTTCCCTCCCGTCTTCTCTCTCATTTTGTTCACTCCAGCCACCAAGCACCAACGATGAGCCAACCCGCAGACAGGTGTGTGGTGGCCCGAAATGTGGGCACCAGAGTTGCACGATGGGTGACGCACGAGGCGCACACGCCAAGTGGATGAGTGGAATGCACATGATTGTTGTCTTAGCACTAAGATGCACTAGATGATCCGATCCGTTGGAGTGCTCTTGTACGACATCATATCATCTGGTGGCATTGATCTTCGAGGTCTTTAGTTGTACCAACTCTCTGATGATCACCAGATGATCTATCAGGTGAATTTTCTCTTCACCGTATCATCAGATGGGCACAATCCTCTCTGGCCTACTTTTTGGATGCCGCCATATGATCCGATGAGCCTGATCAATTGATCAGGTGAGCAATCTTTGTCATTTCATCTTTGTTTCCACTCAGATTTTGATCAAACTTTAACCTTCCATCCCTAGGACCTATTATAGCTTGTCTAACACATCTTTAGCAGACATGTTAGTACTAGGAGGCTTGTGTTTGCATTTCTCGAGGATGACCTTGATGCCTACCTCATCATAAAGGTTGTTGAAGATCATCTCCAATAGGTCTATAGTGTGACTTATTTGTTACCTACCCTTAATGTTAACGCCATCGATGTTTTTTCATCCCATCTGGTCTCTAAGAGCCTTACTAGAGTTGTTCTAGCAGTGCGCATATGAAATGGTAATGAAGCTCAAGGGCACACCATGTTGAGAGTGGTGCACTCCATCCGTGGTTCACCCATCCTCCCCCCTATTTTTTATTTTTTATTTTATTTGTCAGCTTTGACCAGGAACCCCAAGAGATATCCGCGCCGCCTCATTTGTTTGTTGGTAGATGAAGAGATGTCAATACGTCATTTCAAATCTGCAAATATAAATGCGTTGACCACAAGAGGAAATCCTTGAGATATGTACGGGGGTTGTCTGACTACTAGTTTTGACAGCAGTAGCGGCTGTTGCGGCTGGTTTTGCATGTCGCAAAATACTGTTGCTACATTGAAAATCTACAGCTGCATGGCTACGCAAACAAGCAGCTGAAAAGGCCCATGCAGCCTGTTCGACGGCCTGTATAAGGCTTATAAGTCTCGGATTATCAGCCAGTCAACAGTGTTTTTCTCTTATACCAAATCAGACAACAGTACTTTCAGCCATGGCTTATAAGCCAATTCAGCCGAAACTAACAAGCTGATGATAGGTGGGTGTCACCTAGAAATTCGTATTTACTAAGTATTAATGCTAGGGTGAATATATTTCACACCACGAATTAAAAATAATAAGTTGGATTTTCAAATTTCAAACCACAGGCACTTGTACACAGCTCACATAAATAAATTGGTTTTACACTAGCTATGTAAACAAATGCTCTACATAAAGCAATTTTACTAATCCATTTTGTGTGTATACAAGGAAGGTGGTAACATCCATTGAGTTAAATAACTTGCTTAATTCTTCGTATCTCCTGGTCAATCCGAATCTGTGAGGCTGTCACGACCTTCTGTCCTTAATGCTAATCAATAGTACTCCATATCTCCATAGATATGATCCTACTACCTACCTGCATGATCGAGCACAAGCCTCTCCTTCCGCATCTGTCTGTCTTGCCCAGGCGGCCTGCCTCTATACCTACCCACCCGGCCGGTGAGTCTCTCCTTTCCTCTCCCTCACACCATCACCATGGGGGGGTCAAAGCAGTCGTCAAACAAGGAGGTTTTGCGGGTGTGGGAAATGCTGGACGCCAACGATAGGGCTCGCAGGGCGTACAAGCGGGTTCTCGCTCGTCCAACCATGCTAGAGGTTGCCAAGAACGTGATTTGCATCCTCCTCTGGCTGGAGACGACCATGGGTGTCAAAGTCCTCCAACAAGTGTCGGTGATGGAGATGAGCAGAGACCCCAAGCTCAGTCTGCTCATCAAGGAGGCAGATGGCCTATACAGCTACCTCCTTGATGGGCATGACGCGCTGCCGGAGCCCCTCGTCTGTAACATCCCGACCATCGTGTCCCTCTGCGGTGGAGGCAGGCTGGTCGACTTCAGATTCTTCAAGTTCCACAAGGAGCTCGTCGCACGTGGTGTCGCCATGATTCGGGAGACCGTCGGGGCACTCGTATTCAACGAAGACCTTCACGCGATGTTGCGCCGTTTTGAAGACGATGTTGACTCGAGTGTGACGACCCCTAAACCTGCGCCAGCTCCAGAGCTGACGGAGCTGTTCGTCCCCGTGTCGACGACGCCCCCCGAGGACTCGAGGACGGTGTTCCTTGCCTTCTCCGTGTCCAAGGGCGGCGAACCCCATGGTATAAGCTCAAAAGACATCATCGACCACTATGAACGGTATGTGCATGGTAACCTAGCTCGATCTCAAAGAAGTTATACTTCCATGCTCTGTTCATTTTTGCCCCATTTCTAAACCGCTAGCAGGATTAGTTTCATATGTGCGCGGGGCTGGGTTAATTTTGTGCAGAGTTTTTGGGTTTCCGCGTCACATCGAGCGCATTGAAATAGAGCAGCCATGCACAGGCCAGGACTCGAAGCACGGCATCATTTTGTTCAAGAGCCCGGAGAACAGGAAGGAGGCCATGTTCGAGGAGACCTCAGCATTCTTTAGGATCAAGTCGCATGACATTTGGATGCAGTGCTACATGCCTCCGTTCTAAGCTCATTGAACCAACTACTATAAGGAATTCATATGTCAGTGGTTGGTGTTTGATTTGGGAAATAATAAAGTTTTTCGGCTATTGTTTTCGGGTTGAGATTTCTAGTCGATTTGGATCCTAATATGCAATGCAAGCTACACATACAAAATTGTCACCGCTAGCTTAGTATTAGTCATGCATCGTCTGATTTCTATATCCTCACCTTCTTGCCATGGAATCAGATCCTACAATTTCCTTCTCCTTGATGGTCTACGCAAACTTAGGGTCCCCTCGCGCCGCTCCGCTCCCTGCGAGAATCAGCAGAGCACTGCCGAACGCTTCAACTTTGCGCGCCGCTCCGTGGGAATCGCTCCCACCGCTCCACACAAATTGCACGTCAGGTGAGGAGTGAAAAAACCGCCCGCGCCGCGCTCCCTCGTCTCCACTAGCCCTGGGCAAATTTTATCAAGAACCGAACCAAAAAACCGAGAACTGAACGAATTTACGAGAACCGAAGTCTCGGTTCCTGTTCGTTCTCATTTCCGAGGAACGAAATTTGTTCGGTAAAATCGGTTAACCGAACTAACCGAGAAACCGCCCATTAGGCAATAAGACCCAGCCCAAATTGTCTTGCACTTCTTGCTGAATGTTGATGCCTTACTTTAGAAGTTAGCACTCTATTTATGTATTTGTTACTGCTGTTTGACTGTTATATTTGTCATTGTGGTTTTGTGTGCAATCATCTTTGAAAATCTTTGTCAAAATTTCTTTGTTACATGGATTTTGGGTATTGTTCGGTTTTTCGGTTCTACCCAGAACCGAACCGAAAGAACCGATACCGAACTTGGTCGATTCCATGTTTTTTGAAGAATCGATCAGTACTGGTTTTCTGAGAACCGAACTTCTTAAAAAACCGAAGAACCGAACGCCCAGGGCTAGTCTCCCCCGCGCGCATCCTCGCCTCCAACGCGCCGTCCACCGCCACGGACGCGCCCTTGTCTTCCTCCAACGAGCCCTCCTCCGCCTTCACCACCGACACATTCTTCTCCGCCTCCGCCGCCGACACGCCCTACACCGTTGCCTCCGAGCCTGCCATCGCCGTCGCCTCCGAGCTCGTCATTGTTGATATTCAGCAAGCCCTTCTCTTCCGCTAGCCTTTTTTCTTCTCCGTCGCCGAGATCCATCCTACTTTTTGTGGCAGAACCGTCCGAAATAATACGCTTTCGGAGACGCTCGTCTTCCAATAGACACTAAGCACCCCAAAAGTTAGCTACACCGGACAATTCTATTGGGCACACCCCATAGGAGAACTCGAATCAATCCACGTTTTACCCCCAGAATCCAATAATGAGTACGAGCTTATAATACTTTGTCCATTTCATAAAACAAGAGTTCTTGAAAATTATTTATTACAATACCAGAGTTTAGAGCACGATAATTAAACAACGGAATTTAAAATAACATCTAACGGAAACGATACACGTATCTGTTTGTGCCCACCAGAAGAATCCTCCATACAAGTGTTACTCCTCAAGTTGTGCCTGCAACCGGGTAAAATAAACCCTGAGTACACAATGTACTCGCAAGACTTACCCGATTAGTGGGAATAGTTTCTCACTCCAAAGGGTATGATAGGTAATATGGGTTTGCTGTTTTCTTTTTGTTTGCGAAAAACATTACTAGAAGTAAGTCCTTAAGATCAAGTTTAATTAGCAGTCATGATAATTTCACTAGCTAACTATTCTAGGTAAGCACATGTACTACCTTCAAGCAAGAGTTAAGCAATGATAACCATTTTACCATCTTTTATATTTCAGTTTTTACTACGGTGCTAGACCATTGCCAAGTCGTACCGTCTCACAGAAACGGTGATTCACGAACCAATGTATCCCAGTTGGGTACCCCAAAACACACGTCTCGTTTGTACCCCAGGCATAAACAGCACCAACCCATTCCACTCATGTCACGGGTCTAAGTCCCCGTCCAAACTTGTACTCCAAGCTCCCACATTAGAGACTCGATCTCAATATGGTGCTTAGACCTCCACTTTTCTCCGCCTCCAATCAGTCGGTTCAGAAAGAGCCAGAACCCACGACAAGAGCGTAACGAGCCTTCCCGCTCCCATAAGCAAGTATGTGCTCAGGATAATAAGTTTGTGACCTGACTACCATCCACAGCAACGGACGGTCCTCAATCGATATGGAAAGAGAAAACAGTGTAACTAAGCTAAGCCTCGTGGCTGCGGGACACAACTTGTTACACCCACCAAAATCCATACCATATCCCTGCCCGGTCTTTATTTTCCTTTCATCATTTTATCATGAGAGTAATTATAATAATCACATATTGCGAGCAACGACAGGTTACTCATGCTACCGATAACCTAAGCATAGCAGCTACTCGAACATATACTAGTAGGACTCATATGACAGATATATCTATGCATGTGGTTTTCATAAAATTCCTGTAATGTAAATGCACATCACATATATATAAATATTCAGTGATTATAAAAAATAAGGGGTTATGCACCGGGGCTTGCCTTGGGCAGGCGTGGTGTCAGCTGAGTCAGTCGTCGGTGGCTTCGGGACCTCCTCCTGCACGAGAATCTCCTCGTACTCATTGACGATCTCCTCGAACTCACGATCGTCTGTGGTGTCTATCTCCACCAACTCGTTTTCTGCATGCATGCGATGATGATGCAACAATTAGCATTTCGGCAACAACAACTCTTAAAATAAGAATACGCATACTAAGCTACTAAGCTAGCTCTAATGACTAAGATACTAAGCTAAGTACCATATTTACCAAGCAAAGTATTGGGTTCAACTAACAAACACCTAGCTTTACAAATTAAGGATATATCTTTATTTCTACTAATGAATTAATGTATATTGAAGAAAAGAGCATTTAACTACCCTAATGTTTCGTCTATTATAAGGCTACAAAAATTATAGTGAGCACATAATAATACAATGAAGCTACCATAAAAATTTAAAGACTAAAGCTATCACCAATTTACCACAAAAATTCCTATAATATTTAACCTAATAATATTGAGCACATTCAAATAATTTAATAGCCCCTAGTATTAACATGTATATATATACATTAATTACACTAACAGATAGATCATAATTTTAAGAACCTAACAAAATTTGTTTCATAATTTTTGGACACATACATGATTTTATATTAATTACCAAAGATAAGCCCGGAAATTAAATTAGAAAACTATTTACTAATCCCCTGAAAAAAGAAAACGGATTCTCCGCGCGGCCCACAACGCGCAGCCCGCTGAAGCAACCCACCCGACGCCGGCCCAAGCTTTTACAAAATAGACCTCGCACTTCTCCCGAATTACAACTAAGTCCTAACGAGATTTCCCCTTCTCACAAGACTTCTCACTTAACCCCTCGACCTTTCCCTAATTCACCCGCGTGCACCCCAGCGACTCAGCGCACGACGACGCGGCGGGCGGTGGCACAGCACGGCTGCACCGGCCACCTGGGGCTCGCGCTGGCCTATCGGTCGGGCCGACCTTCAACTACAGTCCAACTGCCTACACCAAGCAGCAACGCGGGGCGGTGGGATGCGCTGGAGCGAGCTGCAGCGACGCCCGGCTGTCCACGGCAGTGGCGCACCCGCTCTAGTGAGCTGGGGCTGCTACGGACCTAACTGACTCGTGCGTGAGCATCAGGAGGCTACCATGCATGGATCAGGATGAAGTGATGGTTGGGGTGGAGGATGGCGGAGGAGGGGTGGCCACGTGCGGTTGAGCCGTGCAGCAGCACACCGTGGTGGCACGGTCGCGTCGGCGATGATGGGGAGGTGGTAGCGGTTCCGCTGACATGCGCAAGGTGAAGAGGGAGCCAAGGCAAAGCTAGTGGTGCAGGTGAATTGGATCGGGGCAGACGGTAGGGGGTCTGCCCTCGTCCGCGACCGGACGCGGCCTTATTGGCACGGCGGCGGGGAAAAGCGCCAAATTGGAGCTTGACAGTGCGTGCTTCATGGTTGGGTGGGGTTGGGCAGCTGGAGAGCTTGGTGGTGAAGCCACAGATGTGCTGAATTGAATGGAGGTGATCACTCGATGTCTAACGTGCTGGCGCAGCTCTGATGGCGGCAGCAGAGAGAGGCGGGGCGCGACAGGTGGGCTCAGCTTGTGCTCGCCTTGGCAGGACGTGGCCGGCGTGATCGGGGAGGCACGCGCGTAGATGCTACGAACAAGCGCACGCGTCCACGACCGGCATGGCCCGCGCGACCACGGTGCCATAAATGGTATGGCGACGGCGAGCTCGACCACGTGCGCGCGGCATCTAACTGGGCCAGCGGCAGGGTAAGGGTACAGCGGATAGGCACGGACGAGACGGCGATGCGATGGCAGCGGCAGCGGCTGCGTCGAGCACGAGGCGGGTCGACAGTGCGGCAACGCCGCTCGGCCGTGCAAGCAGCAGCAGCGCAGCACGGCGCCACGGTGACAGCAACCTCGCGCGGCAAAGCACATGCGCGCGCGGGGCGAGCCAGTGAGGCGATGTCGCGCTTTCGGGTCGTGGTGACCGCGCCCACCCGACCAACCAACCCAAGAACGTGTCGCGCACGAAATTTAAAGCCCCTGTACCAACTAAACGGTTGCTCTTGAGCCTAAACCATCTTCACCATGCTCAAGAGAGCATATCAGGCTACCAACCCGAGCTAAAACACGACACCACCTCCTAACTCAATTTCACAAAATAAATTGCCAAACATTGCATTGTCTTGCTGTTTATAAACTTGAAAATATTCTAAGTCTTTGAGCTGAACTTGATTCCAAGTTGCATTTCTAGGCTATTAGAAATGTTAGCTAGCAATGTTATTTTTCCACAGTAAGTATTTCATTGTCATCTACAAAGTTCATATTCCAAACTTTATTTAAGTGCCATATAGATGTTCTATAGTATTTTTGTTCAATAAAAATTGGTTTAAAACCCTACTTGATAATTACATGAGTTATGGAATAGCTTCTCGTTTAGCATTTTTATTGA